TTTGGGTGTAGAGCGCTTTCAGTGTAATCCATTGATGAGTGAGTCTGTCAATTGATGTCCACTGCTTTTCTTTTACGTTGAAGTCGAAGTCTTGTTACTTGAGAGAATAGATTGTGCACGATTAGCTTTAAGTCTCACCTTAATGAGGCTTTCACTATGCAATACCGAAAGCTAAAGACTGACGAATAATGTAGTAATTAATAAAGACAAAAGAAAGTCGAAGTGGAGCAAAGGTGCTAAATTATGGAAATTACTATTGTTTGTGCGGGAAATAAAGTGCGCAAAATATTAAGTTGAGCACTTTCAGCTTTGTGAACGTAACAGTTAAGTTATCAAGATGCTTTTTTGTGGGAGTAATGGTAAAGTCTATAGAAGTGTTTACGCACAAGCTGGAGATGGAAAGATGATAGATAAAGGTATTCAATGTGGAAAGAATTGCTGAAGTTATAATCGCAAGAGAAAGCACACGTTCGCCTTCATCCGTGAAGCGGAAGATGATAAACGCTGGACTTATGACGACCTTAAAGACGAAGTGTTAGGAAAGCAAAGAGACTACTGCATTGGTTGTTTGAAAAAGAACTAACAAAAGAAAGGAAATGTCCTGTTTGCAAAGATCATATGGAGCTCATCGAATGCAACGACAGATCTGATGGTTTTAGATGGGAATGCCGTAAGAGGTCGAAGTCAGAAAGTCACAAAAGAGTGATAAGCGTCAGGAAAGGTAGCTGGTTTGAAAAGAGCAACATGACATTAGATGAAATTGTCAAATTCACTTATTGGTGGTGTGAGGGTCTTGAACAAGCGCAAATTAAGAAACAGCTAAAGATCAATCCTACTAGTGCCGTTGACTGGGACATGTTTTGTAGAGAGACTTGTGAAGTGACTCTGGAATCGAAAAGTGAAAGACTTGGTGGACCAGGGAAAGTAGTTCAGATTGACGAAAGTAAATTTGGGAAAAGAAAGTATCATAGAGGRCACAGAGTAAAAGGTCAGTGGGTGTTTGGAGGAATAGAGGACGGAAGTCGCAAGTGTTTTATGGTGGCCGTAGAAAAGAGAGACGAGGCGACGCTACTACCTATAATCAAGACATGGATCAARCCAGGAACGATCATAGTATCGGATTGMTGGAAGGYGTACCACAATTTGTCAAGTAATGGTTATGAACACAGAACAGTTAATCATTCCAAAGAGTTTGTGAACAAACATTTTTTTATATATCTTTCTTTTTATATCTTTATATCTTTTTTCATAAATGTTTATAATAGTATTGAATTTTTCTATATTCAATTTTGTAAAGCGCATCAGAACCTGGTGGATATTTTGCGCTATATAAATACTATTTATTATTATTATTATAAGGAACGGTCCAATACCTTAATTATTCCATGTGGCCTACTCGCATCAAACGGCTAACTGTAGCAAAATAACTACACTGGGAAGCATGGAAAAAATAAAATGATACCTCTTAAGGCGGCGCATTAGCTTGTGCAGGAGGATTTGGTGTCTCAACTTGAACTGGAGCATCGTTTTGCCGTTGAACTTGTTGTTGAGCTGGAACTTTTTGTTGAGCTAAAACTTGTTGTTGAGTTGGCCGAGCCTGTTGTTTAGCTGGAGCTTCTTGTTGACCTGGAACCTCTTGTTGAGCTGGAACTTATTGTTGAGCTGGGACGTCTTGAAGGAGAGCAGGGTCAGGATTGACTGGTGCTTGTCCCATGCATGTGCTTCAGCCACGAGAGAAAAGCAAAAAGGATGGAGCACGCTAGATTTGCCGAAAAATTCTTTACAGTCAGGTTTAACAATGCTGCCCACCGTCAGAAATTTTAAATCCAAATCTTCACCTTCATACATCACCTTGCTTATACTGCCAATTACTGAACTCTTGTGAGGCCAACTCAAGTCGAGAATTACGCTTCTATCAATAGAGTCTTTCTTTTTGACTGAATTCAGAGGTGAAATTGCCAATCCTCTTTCAAAAGGAAAGTCACTAAAAGGTCCTGCGATTGCAGTTTTTTTGCCGTTTTGTTCATTAAGTTTTCACAATTTGCTCTTTTAGCTCATGTTTCTGCTTTGCTTTTTTGAGCCTCTCTCGCATGCTCTAGGGAAGCTTTTCTTTTCTCTTGTTCTTTTAACTGGGCCATCAAGTCTCCTGGTTATCATGAACCCCTCTGTGGTCCATTCTTGCGTAATCTTTTCTTGTTCTTGATCTTAAGTTATAAAAATTCAGAAAAAAAAACTACCTATGAAAATATAAAACTCCAGATACACGCACATGGAGAATAGCGTAGCGCGGATATTCTATT